ATGTGATGACCGATCTCGAGCGAAATTGTTTTTATATCAGTCTTTTGTTTTTTATTATGCTATGCTGATTAATACATGACCCGTATAAGGTTACTAATAGAATAGTTAAGCAAAAAAGAGACAACTTATAAATATTTGTCATATTTTTCTTGATGATGAATTCTTCATCTTCTCAACTAAATGGGATAAGCTTGCAATACTTTAAAACCATTATCGAATAATCAGCACTAATAGCATATTAGCATGCCTAATGCTCACTGTACACCTCAGCCGGAGAAACAATATTTTATTTGTTAGAAGGCAAAATCTTTGCTATAAAGTATAAACACATAAGACTTATTTCTCCTTCGTTTGTATTATACTCGGTAAAACACAAGCAAGAAAGAAGAAATCAGAACCATATTATCTCTCTCAAATTCTTATTACATTTCTCTCATATTTTGACATCATGAAATTCGATCTACTCCAGTCTCCTGCTTGCAGGTTTATCCATATGTAACCAATCAGCCTCTACGGTGTAAGGAGAAGAAAAGTGTTTGTGATAGATCATGCACTATCGAATACAGAATTGTTCAAAAACAACACACAGTTCACACACTTTATTCACCAGATCAGATTATACAACTATAGACAATTCGAGATGCCTAATCTCCCAGTCCTGTTCTAGCCAAGAGTCTAAAAAACTACCTTCAGCTAGTTGAGCCCTTCTATTTATAGTAATGTCCACGCAGGGACAATAACTAACTAACTAACCCGTTAGTTATTAGTTAATAGCAGCATCCCTATTAACTCTTCTTTTATACACTTTATTATAAAATTCCACCGACTGCCTTGCTGCATGTCTAACAATACTCCCCCCCTGGAAATTCACCTTGTCCTCAAGGTGAAACTCTGGAAACTGTTCTTTGATCATTTTCATTGACTCCCAAGAATCTTCAAATTGTGCCAGATTGCTCCAATGAACCAGCACTTCCCAATTACCATCTGCATCAACCCTTGTGTCCAAAATTTCTTCTGGCACAACCTGTAACTCCCATTCTTCATTCAGACACTTAGGTAGAGGTTGAAAGTAGGTAGTAGATGATATAGCTTTTTTCAACAAAGATATATGAAACACAGGATGAATTTTGCAATCTTCTGGCAACTGCAGTTTAAAAGCCACAGAACTGAGTTTTTCAATAATCTGAAATGGACCATAAAATCTTGGGCTTAATTTTTGGTTCATCCTCTTAGCTAAACTCCTCAGCTTATAAGGTTGAATTTTCAGATAAACCCGATCCCCTATCTCCAATGTAACCTCTCTCCTGTGTTTATTGGCCTGCTGCCTCATCTGATTCTGAGCTTTGGCCAAATTCTCTTTCAACTCGTCTAATATTATATTCCTCTGAGCAGTCAGTTTTGAAACTTCTTCTACTGCAGTAACTGTAACATCTCCTCTAATTACTGCAGGAGGGTCCTGTCCAAATAGAGCCTTGTAAGGGGTAGTTTTCAGTGCAGCATGATAGTTAGTATTGTACCAATACTCAGCCCAATGTAACCAATTAAGCCATTTTTTTGGTTTTCTTCCTGGTAAACACCTGAGATAAGTTTCCAAGCATCTGTTAACCACCCCAGTCTGACCATCAGTCTGAGGATGATAAGTTGTACTATACTTCAATTGTGTCCCAGCCAATTTGAATAGTTCAGACCAAAAAACACTGAGGAAAACACTATCTCTGTCACTGACTATAGTTTTAGGGAACCCATGTAATCTGACCACTTCTTTAATGAACACATCAGCTACCTCCTTAGCATTGTAGGGATGTGACAAAGCAATAAAGTGAGCATATTTAGTTAATCTGTCCACAACCACAAGTATAGTATCCTTCCCTTGTGATTTGGGTAATCCTCCAATGAAATCCATGCTAATGTCAGTCCAACTGCTATTTGGTATAGGAAGTGGTTGTAGTAGTCCTGCAGGCTTCAAAGCTTGATATTTATTAGTCTGACAAACCACACATTCTTCCACCCACTTCTTTATATCCTTCCTCATACCTTGCCAAAAGAAAAGACTGGATACTCTCTTCATGGTTCTAAAATATCCTGAATGCCCTCCCATGGCAGTTTCATGATATTCCCTCATGATCTTTATGATTCTGGGTGATCCTTGAGGTAGAACTAGTCTCTTGTTATAATATAACAAACCCTTAATGATCTGAAATTCTGAATATTGATCTGGATAAGAAATCACCTTCTGAATCAACTCTGCACATTTGATGTCAGCCTTCAATTCTTCTTCCAATCCATCCCATTCTTGACATGTCACAATTGAAAGAGACTGGAGCATAGGTCTTCTAGAGAGAGCATCATCAGCTTTGTTTTCTACCCCAGGTCTATATCTGATGATGAAATTGTACCCCAACAACTTAGAAGTCCACTTCTGTTGTTCTTCACCCATTAATCTTTGCTCTGTCAGAAACTTCAAACTCTTTTGGTCAGTTACAATCTCAAAAGTTCTTCCCAACAAATAGGGTCTCCACTTCTGTACTGCTAACACAATAGCCAAGAGCTCCCTTTCATAAACTGATCTGTTTTGGTTTCTTTTAGATAATATCTTGCTCATAAAAGCCACAGGTCTGCCTTCTTGCATGAGAACTGCACCTAACCCAGTTCCAGAAGCATCAGTCTCCAGAATGAATGTTTTATTGAAGTTAGGTGTAGCTAGGACTGGGAGTGAAGTCATGGTTCTTTTTAACTCCTCAAAAGATTGTGTAGCTTGTTCTCCCCACTGAAAACTGTCTTTCTTTAAGAGTTGTGTAAGGGGTGCTGCAATTTTACTGTACCCCTTTACAAATTTTCTGTAATAGCCAGTTAACCCCAAAAACCCTCTCAACTCCTTTAAATTCTGGGGTTTTGGCCAAGTAACCATGGCTTCAATCTTGGTAGGGTCTGCTGTTATTCCTACTCCAGATGTAATATGCCCCAAGTAGACTAATTGAGGTTGTCCAAAAGAGCATTTCCTTGGGTTAATCACCAACTGATTATCCCTCAAAGCAGATAGGACTGCTCTCAAATGCTCTATGTGGTCCTCCTTAGTTCTACTGTATACCAAGATATCATCAAAAAAGACTAAGGCACATTTTCTCAAATAAGGCCTTAGTACCTGATTCATCAAAGCTTGGAAGGTAGAGGGAGCATTAGTTAGACCAAAGGGCATTACCAAATATTCATAATGGCCCTCATGTGTCCTGAAAGCTGTCTTCATCCTATCTTCTTCTTTCATCCTAATCTGATGGTAGCCAGATTTTAGATCCAACTTAGAAAATATGGTAGCCTCCCCAAGTTCATCAAGTAGTTCTTCAATTATTGGGATTGAATATTTGTCAGGAACTGTGATTTTGTTAAGGGCTCTGTAATCTCCACAGAACCTCCATCCACCATCCTTCTTCTTGGCTAAGAGTATAGGACTGCTTTAAGGACTATTGCTATTCTGGATAATCCCAGAATCAAGCATTTCTTTCACAATCTTCTAAATTTTAGTCTTCTGGTACTGTGGGTACCTGTAAGGTCTGATATTAGGTATCTTAGCTCCCTCCTGAATCAGTATAGAATGATCACAATTTCTTTTGGGAGGTAAACCTTCTCTAGGTTTTGTAATTTCTGGAAATTCTTCCAAAATCTGCTTCCAAATGGTTTCCAGTCCTCCTTCTTGCTCCATTTCCATGTTCTTTCCTTCACAATATAAGAAATAACCATCTCCATTCTCAGCTACCATTTTACTCTGAGATGGCCAGTTGTAACCAGATTTCACTCTGGAATTATCTCCCCAACTCTGTCCCTTGACTGGTACATAACTTCTTTCCTTTATTGTCAGTTTTTCCTCTTCCTTCTTTTTTCCAAATTGTGTTTCAATCTTCTGTTCAATGAGTACAGCTCTATCCATGATCTCGGTTAAAGACCTGGATGCATACATCTTCAGCTCAGATTTTATCTCCTCCTTCAAACCTGACATGAATACCCCTCGCAGCAATTCCCCGTCCATATGCAATTGTGGAGCTATCACCATTTCGAACTCTTCTCGATAATCTTGCACATTTCCAGTTTGTCTCAAACCTAACATTGGTCCATACGGATTCTGAATCAATTCTGGTTGAAATCTGCGAATGACAGATTTCTTCAAAGCCTCCCAACTTGTTTCCTCAGTTTGATTCTCCCACAAATGGAACCAGTTAAGTGCTCTATCCTCCATCACGATCATAGATGCTTCAACTTTTTCTTCCTCCTCAATGTGATTTAAACGAAAATATCTCTCCATGCGTATGATCCAATTATATGCTCCTTCGCCATTGAATAAAGGTAAATCTACCTTTCTAATCTGTGCTCTCATATACTCATTGTTTCGTCGAGCATTATGGACAGGAGAGTTAACCGAATTACCTCTGGAGTGTATCGGACTGCGCGAATCCCTCGTATGATGAGTTTGAGGTGTTCGCGACCTTCCTCGGTTCGAAACTTTGTCGCCATCGCATCAATCTTAGCTGCGAGAACTTCCAACGCAGATTGCGTTTCCTGCTGTTTTTGTTCCATCGAATCCAAACGGCGATCCATTCTTGCTCTCGTTTTAACCATTCAAGTTCGAACGAACAAAATTTCTGGATCTTCTCACTTCTATAATCTCCAGGAACGTAATGCTCTGATACCAATGATAGACCATGCACTATCGAATACAGAATTGTTCAAAAACAACACACAGTTCACACACTTTATTCACCAGATCAGATTATACAACTGTAGACAATTCGAGATGCCTAATCTCCCAGTCCTGTTCTAGCCAAGAGTCTAAAAAACTACCTTCAGCTAGCTGAGCCCTTCTATTTATAGTAATGTCCACGCAGGGACAATAACTAACTAACTAACCCGTTAGTTATTAGTTAATAGCAGCATCCCTATTAACTCTTCTTTTATACACTTTATTATAAAATTCCACCGACTACCTTGCTGCATGTCTAACAGTTTGTAAATAGCTGAAAATGCATACATTCAGATACATATAAACGGAATTATTATAGACTGCTTTACATATGATGATGCGTACAGTGTACAACAGGCTGAACAAACTAGCTAGTAAAAAGGGTTAGACTTTACATTAATACAACAACAACAACAATGAGCAACAAATTGGTAAGGATGATTGAGGAATCATATCAACAAATTATTGAATACTTCGTATTATCTAACACATCCTGGCAAGATGTAGGATTCATTGGAGACTCCAAGCTTGGAACAAAAGGAGAACTAAGCACTCCCTTATTGCTTGGTTTGAAGTTTGAAAAGCAGCAATCGATTCTTTGGTGCTTAAGAATTGAACAGCAAGTGAGTCGTCCATGACTCGTTATCTCACCGGAAAAAAATCAATTCAAAGCAACATGCTTCATAGGTTGCCCCAAGATGATCAGAGAACATAGTGTGTGGAGAGGAATGACCAAAACTAAGGTCGCAAAGGAGGTTCTAAATCTAGTAAGTTCTCAATGTTGCATTTTCCATCACACGATGTTCTGCTTCATGAACTTGACACAAAATGTTGTTTTGTGATCTTTAAGAGATGATTCTAGAACTCAACGATGTTCTGCTTCATGAACCCAACCAATGAAATTCCCTTGGTGAATGAAGAAATTGTGAAAGTTACTTCACCAGAAGCTTGTGAACAGAAGCCTTTACATATCCAAATCATAAGACAAAATTGAATGCATATGTTGTATTTCATAAACAAGTAGACTCGACGCATGCATAATCATCTACTCATTTATGCAAAAAAGAGGTTTAATGAGCCAAGCTCCCATGATATACAAATTTTGTATATTAGTCCATCGTGATTTAAAAAATGAGTCAAACTCCCATGCATTGTAATTAGTGATGCACATCTAAAGCAACAAACAAATTTAGGAGTATAAACATCATTTGCCTCAGTGTTATAATTAATACTCAATAATGCACGTTTGTCAATGTTTGTAAGTTATACAAAAATACTATGTACTCTTAATTTATTCAAAAGTTAAATTCGTTCTTCTAGGGTGTTATGTGTGACTAATGACAACACAACGAGGGTTTGGCGCAATTTTTAAATTACGAGAAACTAATCCACAAAATTTATATATCACGAGGGGTTTGACAGGTAAACCCTGCAAAAAGTGAAAATATATTCAACGTTTTGGGAAAATGGACAAGAGATGCGGGCACACACACATCAATGCATAAATACTTTACACAGACTTGCTCCATAACTTGCCATCTGACGCCTAAGCATAATGGCATACCCAACACATCATTGCGAATACCAAATAAAACAATTAAGTACTAATCAGTCATCCCACCTTAAAATACCCTCAGGGTGACCCTTAATAATCGCCATTACTATATCAACCCACTCCCCTCAAGGGTATTTTTTGCAATTCTAAAGGGGTCGTGTGGGTTTTATACTTTTATTGGAGCAGCATTTAGAGTAGATACTATACCTTTTGCAGCATCTCCCCTCTGTGTGAAGCGAACCTGGGGGATTTTCATGTGCATCTTTGTGATAACCTCATAATGATCGAAAATCGGAAAACCTGATCAAAACTAAAACTCGTTATGATATACCCAAAAAAATAAGGATAATAAAAAACCGAACCTCCCATGGCTTCCCATATTTTGAAGACTCATTAGTTCAAACCCAAGAGTATTTATTAAAACCTAGATTAGAACTAAAATACAATGTTTTAAATCCAATGTCATCAATTGAGATGGTTACGGTAACCAATAAACATTTTGAAGTATCTTGAACTGAATGCACAGAACTTATGATCCGAACCATACATCATTTTCCTAGGGAAATGAAAACAAAGAGAATCAGAGAGGTCCTAATGGTAGTATTCTTGTTGATTGATTTGATTCTAATATAAGTCGAAGAAAAAGGTACTAAACAGTGGTGGAAGAGAAATGGAAGGCTTGGGTTGGAAAGAATAAATGCACAACTCCTATGTTTTGAAACTCTAAAGTTTTTAAATTTTAATTTAATTTACCTTCTGTACATAGCCTTTAGTAACTTGTGAACTTCAATTGTTGTTCATAATGCAGTTTAATTTATCATGTGGCAAACAAGGGTGACAGATGTGGTTGGGAGATGATGATAACTCTTTCATTTATCATGTGGCTCAAAATTATATCCGAATTCCTTTTAAGAAAATCATTATGTGGTTAATATTGCTTCTCTCCTCTAATTGTATCTTAACCACACAATTTTTCCTAAATCTTCTTGCAAAGTAAAAGTGTGCTCTTATTAAGTAATGGACTAATGGGGGAGTACCCTCTACTAGAGTTTCAGCACCTGATTGTACATCACCATGCCCACGATAAAAATCCCAAGATATGGGAGCTTAATGATAAAGGCGGAGAAAATGAATGAAAATCAGCAAAATAAAGGGAAACAATTTAATTACTACGAGAGGTATAGACTTGAAAGAGCACAAGAGAGCCTATTATCAATTATTAAATTAATTCCGAAACCAGTTATAGACTTATAGTTTATAAATGATAAGGAAACTGACAAAATTTTGAAAAGAGCACAGAACATACCTGCTTCTGCCACATTATATTCTTCTGAGGTCTATGGAAATGACAAAGCACCAAAATTTGTGGCCATACCAAGGTAACCAACAATTTTGTTACTCGTATAAACATAGATTTCCTATAAAGAACTCATGATACTCCTTGCCAGTATATTAGCTTGACTGAACTCCCCCTTAGAACAATGCAGAGCAATCAAAGAATAGTAAGTATCAAAGTTCTCCAAATGGAAGATATCAGTATCTAGGCTAGCAGCATTTCCCAAATCTATTTCCAATTTCCCTTCATCGCATGATTTGCTTTCTAAAGTACTTTTTTTGAATTCAACACTATCAAAAGCTTTCATATCAGATGGCTCCTTTAGCTTTTCTGATATATTCAATGAAGTAAACTCCTTCTCCAGAGGAAAATATATGCATCCGACTTCATTAAGAATATTAACAGCCTCATGGATGCTTCCTTGTTCACACAACAAAGAAACAAAACTTTGTACAGACTCAGCTTGAGTTTCAGCTTCAACTCTGTCAAGTGTACTGATTACATGTTGATTTTGAAGCATTTCTCTTAAAATACATCTAGATTCTTCCATCCTTCCCTTGGCACATAGCCCCCTAATCAAGCACATAAAACCTACAAAATCAGGGGATATTTTTTTCTCTTTAAATTCAGCAAACAAATGAAGAGCTCCTTCCATGTCACCTTTTTGGCAGCATCCATTAATAACTGCACTGACTGTAAATTCATTTGGTTTGAGACCCTTTACTTCCACGTCACGGAAAAGATCCATAGCTTTCTGTATTTCACCTAGTCTAATATACCCACTAATTATGGAGTTATAAATATGGATATTTAAAGGAATGTTCTTGAGCAACATCCTCTCAAGCAACATCATGCAATCTTGTACAAGGCCCATTCTTGATAGTGTAGCAATGAGTGTGCCAAATGTGATTACTGAAGGATAAATATTAATCTTCTCCAAGGAATCAAATAACCGAAATGCTTCAAGGAGACAACCCTGACGGCACAGCGCATGTATAACTGAGTTGTATGTTACAACATTCAGAGTAACTCCCTTGCTCATAGCAAAATCACAAAGATTTAGTGCCAATATAATTTGACCTCCTTTGCAAAGGCCATCAATCACAATTGAGTAATCAACCACGTCCATGAAAGGGAGACTATTTCTTGCTTCAGTTATAAGCCTATAGGCATTAAAAGCTTGGCCATGTTTTGTCAGGGTCTTTAAAACTGCTATAGGAAACTCAACAGGGAATGATCCCTTAGAAAGAAAGCTGAGGGCACGGTTTACATCATCCATGCATAAGAAATGAACTAGTATCTTGTTTACCATGACATCAAAAATCCCGTACCTTTTTATGAAAATTGTCAGAACTTGCCGACTCATACAAATCTTTCCATCATGAAGAAGTGCTTTAAGGATTAGGTAGTAAGTCTTGCATTTCACATTTGATCCTTTACTCTTTAATTTTATTAAACCGTAGAAGGCAGCCTCTGATGCCCCACTCTTGCATAGAAAAATAATTGCATCATTGCATATTAGATCATATATATCATGAACAACATGTTCCAATCTTTGAATTAACTCCAGTACTCCTTCTGCACCTTTATCTCGAAATATAGTCTTAATGACCATTATGTTAACAGTGGCACTCAAGCCAATATTTCTTTCTACCAGTTCCATCAAAACCTCAACTGCAACATCAACAAAACCCTTTTTACATAGCCAATAAATAATGCAATGGTGACATGCTGCTGAAGAAGTATCTTTCTTCCGAAATTGATCAAATATCTCAAGTGCCAGATCCATCTGGTCAGCGTTGGAATATCCATCAACCATGGTGGAGTAAGTAATAATATTTGCCTCCAAACCTGAACCTTGCATTCCATTATATACAGAACGCACATCCTCAAATAAACCCATCATAAACAATCCTCTAATCAACACATTGCATATGGCAACATCCAAACACACATCAGCTGTCTGCAGTCTTCTCCTAGTTTCTAATATCCCCATGAAATTTCCTTCTTGAATGTACCCATGTAACAATGTAGTGTACGTGATAACATCTCCTACTATGCCTCTAGACAAATCATCAGCCTCGGTTGTCCTTCCTGCTTTGCACAATCCATTGATGATAGCATTATATGTGACAACACCAGGCTTTACCCCCTTCTTCTCCATTTCATCAAGCAGCTCAAAAGCGCGGTGATAATCACTATCCCTACACACCCCATCAATAAGTATTGCATAGGGAAATTCATCCAATTCAAACCCTAGATTCTCAACCACATTAAGCACTGAAAGTGCCTCATCCAATTTTCCCTTCTTGCATAATCCTTTCATAACTGCAGTATAAGTGACTAAATTGGGTTCTAAACCATCCTTTCTCATCTTGTACAAGAATCCTACTCCTTTCTCCACAAACCCTTCCTTTGAAAATCCATCTATAAGTATTGTATAACTTACTACGTCCAATTCAATGCCCTCCTCAACCATTTCTCTGTATCTTTCTAAAGCATCATGAACCTTTCCTTCCCTAAAGTACCCATACATCCAATTACTGTAAAATACGGTATCTGGTTCTAAGCCATCTATCCCCATAATTTCGACCAAACTCCATCCATCGCTAATCCTATCTAATCTATAATATGCACTCATTAGAGAAGTATAAGTGAAAACATTAGGTTTCAAAGAACCCGAGTTTACAGCATTATCATAGAACTTTAAAGCAAGTCCTGGCTTTCCAACAGTGACAAAAGCACAAATCACATAGTTGCATAAAAAATTATCAAAAGAGTGCTGCATTCTCTCATCACTCATCATCTTTAACACCTGAGTAGCCCCATCCATCATTCCTCTATAGCACAAACGATAAAGTAATGAGTAAACAGTACAAGAAGAAGGCGTAATACCACCAATTTTCAAACAATCCCGCAGAATAGAAAGTGCCTTTTCAGGTTCTGTCATAGAGAGGCCCTGAACAAGAGAATCCAAGATTTGAGTTCGGTAATAGCTATTGCAACTTTTCACAATTTGGGTCTTTGCAAACACAACTGCTAATTCAATTTGTTGGTCTCGGAGAAGCGCTCTTGTGAGGATTGTCTGAGTTAGCGAGTTCACTTTGAGCTTGTTTGACAGCATTTGAGAAACTAATAGGATTATTGCGCCGAATTTTTTGGTCCGAGAGAGGAACAGAAGGCATTGATTGTAGTCACCTAGAGTTGGATTAAAACCACTCTTGAAGATAGTTGGGAGAGATGGGAAACTGCGTGATTTCGGGACCGTGTTGAGCTTCCGAGCCATCATCTGGATTGCAGCTTAACTGTTTTGTTCGAATTTGACTAGAGTTGTTGGCCGTCTTTTTCATCTCTTTTAAGCGGGCCGTAAGCTCGTCAGCTTCATTATGAATTTTGCTTCTGCATAAAATTTGATCGACCAGAATCAAGAGTTGGAGAATGTGATGAGTGAAGACGGTAGTTGTCCAGTTGGAGGCAAATATCTATTTCAAAGTCTATGTTGGACATGCTCAACTCATCACAAAGGGCTGAAATTTGGATAAAAGGCTGAATTTAGTTGAAGCTGGAAATTAGTTGATTCCGTGTTTAGAACTGATTCTGATTCTGCTTCTTTTTTAAAGCAGGAGCAGGAGCAGAAGCAGAATCAGAATCAGTTTTCGGAAGCAGGTCACCCCTAGCTTCTAAAAAAACTGATTCTAGGAGTAAATTAGAGCACCAGAATCACTTCTCCACTTTTACTCAAACACTCCAACTTCTGCTTCTGCTCCCTGAAGGAGCAGAAGCAGTTTCAAGAATCAAATCCAAACACCTCCTCAAAACGTTGGGAGTTTAAGGGGGTGTTTGTATTTGATTCTTAAAACTGCTTCTTCTCATTCAGGAAGCAGGAGCAGAAATTGGAGTTTTTGGGTAAAAGTACAAAAGTGTATTCGAGCGAATCATTAATTACTTAGAAAAAAAAGGAGAACCTCAGGAATTTACTCTTAGAATCAGTTTTTTTAGAAACTGGGGGTGACCAGCTTCTGAAAACTAATTCTGATTCTGCTTCTGCTTTAAAAAAGAAGCATAATCAGAATTAGTTCCAAACACTCCCTAAACGTTTCTCTTGTGATGTTCTTTGGATTGTCCAAAGTAATCTAATACTCTTTCGTTCTCTAAAATAAGAATGTGTGATTTCTTAAAATATACTACCTCCATCCCAAAATTAACTTCCCAAAATCGGATTATGATGTTTGACCGACGATAAAGCAACTCGATCCCTGTTCATACTCAGATTACTTTTAGTAAATAAAATTTACATATTGAGAAAACTACATTAAAATCGCTACAAAGGCTGATAAAAAATATATAAATTTGATAAAAAAATTGATATATAAAACATAAGATTAAAAGTAATTTAAGTTGACCATGTGAACAGTGATTGTGAAGTTCATTTTGCTACGGATGGAGTAATTGAATTAGTCATCTTCCAACTACTCATAATTAGAAATTATTATCATCATTACATAAATAATTAGGAAATCGTAATTATGATTTCAACGTGATAAATGTGTTATTTACAATGATCTTCTAATTTCATTGAGCTCACACATTCTCCTATAAATAGGAGTCATTCTCATTGTAATTAACACACTATTAGAACTCTTTTAATACACATCTATCACTAAGTGTTCCACTATACTTTCTGTCCACAATCTTCTGCTTATTTCCTTCAATTTTATACTCCGTAATATGTTATCAGCACGAATTTGCTCCAAATCTCTGAAATCATCATCTTCCCGCAGATATGGAATTAAGTGAAAACCCTCTAAATGGCTTTGAACAATGTTTAATAGGCAGTGCCACAATGCACACCATTTTGAGACATATAGATTATTTTTCTCATATGACATTAGTTGAAGTTAATGCCAATACAATCTCAGGTGCTGCTAAACTCATTGAAGGACTATTTCTGAAAAAATGTCAGCAGATTCCTTCGAACTGTATTATACATATATCAGTCCAATTGAGATAATTGTGATATCTAAAATTAATGATCACAAATCCTTTATCTTGTGGCATGATCGTTTAGGTCATCTAGGCAGCACTATGATGCAAAAAATTATTCAAAATTCACTTGGACATTCATTAAATAATGTCAAAATTCCACAATCAAGTGATTTTCGTGCACTGCCTGATTTCTTGGCAAATTAATTATGAGACCATCTTTATATAAAATTGGAGTTGAATCTCCTGCATTTTTAGAAAGAATTCAAAGAGATATTTATGGGCCAACGACTGACTGATTTTTCGTGTACTGCTTAACGACTACCCGTGCAAGAAATGATATATTTTCATTTTTCAATTATACAAAAAAAAAATTGGGCTTGGCAGTTTTACCATTAGAGTGTTGAGATGTATCGTTCCTCTTGAATAATGCAAGCTCTCTAAAACTCTAAAAGGTTCGCCGGTTGAGGAAGGTTTTGGTTTGAAGTTAAACCCGTGATAGCAATAGTCTTCGCTGTCTGTGTGTTGCAAAGTGAGAGATTTTAAATTTCTCTACATATATCGGCATTGAATAATGCAAGGAGGGTGACCTAAATCTATGTTTTAAAAAGAGACCCGGACCGGCGAGGTTGACCCGGAACCCGGCTATCCGAACCAAAACCTGGTTCGGTTAGCTAAAAACCCGGAAGTGGTAAAAAATCGGGAAAAATCCCGCTGATCCGAAAAAACTCGGTTCAGACTCGGACCCGAAAAAACTCAGAAAAAGAAAGTTTCGATTGGTTTTTCCAAAAAAAAAGTACTCCTCCCGTCCAAAAAAATAGCTTCCACTTTGCTTTTTGGGTTGTCCCAAAAATAGTTCTAATTTTCGTTTTTGTAAAGTTTTGTGTGGCTATCATTCATCTAACTTTTTCTTACTCAACCACAATCATACATTTCCACTTTATTCCAACTTTCTTAAATTCTTATCCAATTCAAACTAAGAACTATTTTATGGGACGGAGGGAGTATATCTTTAAAAATATTAAATCATTTTTAACAAAAAAAAAATCCCATTTCAACACCCTAAAATGAAAAAATATGCACCATATTTATATACTTCTTATTTGTTTAAGAATAAAAATCATGTCAAACTATATACTACATATACGGAGTATCATTATATGTAGTATATTTTAATAAAATCAAAATGGTATTTTGGAATATTGTGAGACTATTCTGACTTTCAAATGTTTAGCAAGTATTATCATTAGTTGATTACTATGAAATAATTACATTTTATTTTATTATTTTTTTACTCCAGGGGGGTCTGTGGGAGGGAGGCTGGTGGGAGCCTGGAGTAATCAGGGCTGAAGCTCACTCCATTGAGCTTCAAACCCATATGTGCCTAGAGGGATTCGAACTCGAGACCTTCCACTAGACACGGTAATCTCACAACCAGCTGAGTTGGAATGTTTGGTTACATTTTATTTTAATTTTGTATACAATTTATTATTTATATGGTTGACCGGCTTTATGAAATTGACCGGTTGACCCGTGACCTGGTCACGTGACCGGGATGCTTCCTAGTCCGGTTTCTTAAACTTAGACCTAAATACAAAAAGTAACCCAAATTCCTATATACTCCATTGTTTTTTTTTTTTTTGGAAAACCAAATAACTAATTTATTATTAAAAGGTAGCAAAGATACAAGAGAATGAATAACTAAGGCTACAATGGGGTGAGACATAGAGTACAAAAGATCCAATGAATCCTTTCAGATTGCTAGTCCCGCAATAATGTAGTCTAGTCTAACAGCCTTGCCACTCTTCTTGCTGCTCCAAAGTGAAAATAAAAAATTACAATTAAAAGATTCGGGTTCACCAACCACCGGAAAGGGAGATTTTGTTTGAGCAGCAACCAACAAAGGAAACTCAATAGAGCGAAAATTGTCTGAATCATCAGTTTGACCAATGACCAGTCACTGAAAAGGAGATCCTGTGAGCGCTATTTTTTTCTACAAGTGGGGCGGTGGTTCACGAGGAGGAGGAGTAATTGAAGCTTCAGAAGAATTAGGTTGAACTTGTCTTGCCATCCATGAATAACGAGCCACTTGATCGGTTACACCGACGAAGAAGACACAATCCCTACACATTGCTAGGAGAAGAACAAAACACACATTCATCTGAAGCGGAGATAACTCTCGGCCAAACAAAATGTCGGACCAAACCAGAACCCTAGAAGATAGAAATAAAAAAGAGACAACATAACAAAATCTTTGATTCATTACTGTCCTCAGAACATTGCAATCATCAAAACTCTTGCGAATATGAGAGAAGAAGCAAGAAGATTAGATCATCAAGGAACTCGCCGCATAGGGTTTTCCCAAGGACCGGCTCATGTTTCCTATGAGAGATTCGACCTTGAATATTTCTTTTGGCAACCTCAAGATGTTAAACAACTAATAATGGCTCATGACGGAGTTGTGTTATATACATAGTTGCTTTTAGTTACTAGAATAGGTGTTGACACAATATTTAAAGGAAGAATACTAAAGGAATAAAGGAATAGAAAGGTTTGTAGACTTGAAAGCGGGGAAGGGTGAGAACCATAATCGTTTACCCTCTTATCTTCTTCTCAATTTTTTTCCTCCTAAATATAAAAAAAATCTCTTTAGTTCGTATTTTCAAGTTATCAAAATTTATCATCATTGACATGAAAAGTCTATGATGACTAACTAAAAAAAGGACAAAGTAATATTATTTAGTGATAATTATGACAATTATTTTATACATTATTTTACTATCTATCAGAGTTTTCTAGAAAAGTGTGGAATTCTCTAGAACTATGTGGAAATGTGTGGAAGTCTCGAGAACACTCAGAAGAAATGTGAAATTATCTAGATCCTTTCAGAAGATTTGAGAAGCTCGTGAAAATTTCTTGAAAGACTCTAAAGGATAAATAGGAGTGATACTCTTCATTCCTGTGTGAGAGCCCTGTGAGAGCCTCCTTGAGTAATGAGTGTGAGAGCCTTGTGAGAGCCTGTTTGAGTGCCGAGAGACAAGAGCCTTAATAAGGAGAGCTCTAAAGTGAGTGAGAACCTCCTTGAGAGATGAGAGTAAGAGTAAAGTAATCACATATACAAAGAGTAAAGTAAGCTATCCGTACTTGTAAAATCTCTCTTGTAAATTTCAATTGTATGATACAAAGTGTCATTATCAAATGCAGCTTTGGTATTACGAGTGTGTGGTGAGCATGCAAGAGATTTTTGAGCTCGTGATTCTGGAAGAGGCTGAGAGGTTGTGTTTTCTCAACAACTTATTAGTAGGGTAGCGCAATATTCACCTACTTATATATTTATAAATATATTGGTATAAAGATTGTTGTTCATTGGTCAATTAAGTTCATTGTTATGATTGTTAAGTTTCACTTAATTAGTACAATCATGAGTTCAAGTTTATGGATCTAATAACGATTGAATTTTTTCAAGAAATTGTGGAATACTTATTTAATTTACTGATGGATACATATAGTAGAATCAAGGGGTAATTTGAG